TGCCATGGAGTAATACAAAGGCCTTCTGTCACGAGTCCAGAGGCCCTGCATAAAATGACGGGGCTTAAAACTGTAAACGCGTTCTTACAAACTAATTTATATTTTGTTTAACGAATCTGTGGCAGACACTCTATTTATGTGGTACTGAATCGGAGATTATTACATTCGGTGCCTAAATGGGGAAATGATTTTAGCGAAATATAAGTTAATGTGCAGGCTTAAGAATAAACAAACTCCAATTGTGTACTGATTATTTTTACAGATTTTTCGGTTAAGTATCGAGTGATGAGAACTGCTCTTGTAAGGCAATGGACATCACCCAGCGTCGCTCAGATTCTAGGTAGTGTAGGTAGGCCTTATTTCAGGTTTTTGGAGCTATACCTCCACTGCCTCATACGTCTCAATGGAGCTGTTCTTAATTAATTGGGCACGGGGCAAATTTATCTTTTAAACACAGCAGAACGCCAAGTAAAAGTAAAACTGTCCCTGTGCTTAAATAATTAAACATTACGCTATGAAGGCGTATGGGGGATTGGAGTATAGATCCACATTTCCTTGACCTGGGAACTAGTTGGAGATGAGTGGACAGCTTCATGACCCGGTCGCTTTACCTCCTGGAAACAGCCCCGTTACCCATTAGATAGGAGGTTGGGTAGACACGAAAGCCGTTCTGGACAACTTGGAGAAGAGAAAATTCTTGACCCTATCGGGACCCAACTCCGACCCCTCGGTCGTCCAACCCGTAGCCAGTCGCTGTACCGACTGCGTTATCCCAGCTCCTTAGAATGCTAAGTGAATTAAAAAGTGAAGGTATCCTTGTAACAGGCCGTGGAGGCCCACAGGGTTGTGAGATGTTGAGGTTCCCACATTTTCTAGATATTCGGCTCATAGATGGTGGCAAGGTTGTCAGCCTTACGCGCCAGCCGCCCTTTACCCCAAAGAATATTCCTGGTACTCATTTCTGTTAGAGGCTGAGTCGACAGCAGGGCCATAGTGCGGCTGAAAAAATCCGCCTCATCGGGATAGGATCCCGCGACCTTCCGGTTTGTAGCATAGTGCCTCAAATAACTACGCTACCGCTTGCCCTCCTCAGAACGCCGAGTATTTGTATGAGTTAGTGGCAAAGGTGGTTCGCATGACCGAAAGTATATATAATTGGATTAAATTCCTATGCACGAAAAAAACACTATTATAACGTCATAATACATTGCACAAATACAATTAAAACTATAAAACTTTTAAAATAGGTGAGATGTATAAAATAATAAATGCAATCGTTTGAAAATTTATTTGAAACAGTACAACAATGATGATGTTTAGAAAACGCATTCATTGGTTGCGGTGATTCGATTAATTGGCAATTCGGATAATCGGCGCTGTATTGTATTTATATTTTACGGATAATCATATCCTTTGTTTTTTAATTAGTAAATATTTTGTATTAGTCATCGCTGTACTTACTTTTGCAAAAAATAAAAAGAAATGTCAATTTTATTACTTCAATTTCACTTACAGTCCTATACCGATCTATCAGCAGGAGAGATTTCTGACTTTAACTATATGTATGCCCTAACGCATCATTTTTATCACGAATGTCGAACCCAGACAATTGTTATTGTGTACTCTTATGTCAATTCAGTTATGATACAACTTAAAGGAGCAAATTTTGTAATGTAAATCATCAGGGGCGGTGCGTCATTAGGGGCTAAATCAGCTAAGCCCACCTGATTTTGTTGTAGTATTGAATTTTCATATTCATATTTTATTCTTTTTATTGATATCAAATTTGTACCAAAATATTAATATTTCTCATTATCATGATATAATTAAGGAGACACGAAAATGCAATAGTGATGTCTTGGCCATATCATAGCTTATTTGTACGGTTACAATAACGCAGGGGCTAGCTCGTCTCTAGCCCTTACTGTGTGTATCGTTAGCAGCCATAAGTTCAGTGAACCTTTCAGGGATTCTAAGTATCGCGTGCCTCTTGAAATGTCACGCTTGGGGCTAGTTTTGACAAGCCCGCAATAAAAAAGAACACTATACACAAGGCTGAAAGGGACGGTTGGATTGTGGATGTTATTGTGAACTTACCTCTATTCTTCCACCCTTAAGTAACATGTTCTTTGTAAGAATAGAGAGAGGGTAGGTTTTCAGACACCATTCAGATTCCATCTTTCAGTTGTGTTTTGAGCAGTGGAGAAGATACAAGTTCGGGAATAAAGTAATTTTAGCGTAGGCTTAAATTAAAGTTGTTTTTCAAGTGTAATTTCCAAATTAGGTTTTAGGTTAATATTGTATCGTATTAGAATTAGTGATTAATATGAATACGACGGACGGCCTTCTGAAATCACTGTTCTCAACTTTGAGTTTAGAAGAGAAATTACAAGTAAGAACTCTTGGCGCGCATCAACCAACAGATTTCAAACTTGATCAGAACTGCAAGACTCAGAAAAGAACGTTTCCGTTATCTTGGTTTCACAAAAAGAAATGGCTGAAGAAAAGAAATCGTTTTTTTGTTTTGTGTGTTTATTGTTTGGTGGGGAAATGAGTTGGACTGTGACGGGTATAACTGACCTTAAACATTTGTCAGAAAGAGTTAGAAAACACGAAGCGTCGCAAAGGCATATTGAAAATGATATAAAAGTTAATCTCTTTGGTTCTGTCAATATTTTCACCCAATTAAATTATAACTATAGGGTTTCTATTCAGCGTCACAATGAACTTGTGGATAAAAACAGACACATATTAAATAGGGTAATTAACTGTATAAAGTTTTGTGGAACGCATGAACTTCCTCTTCGGGGGCATGAAGAGCGCGAGAGTTCTTACAGTCGCGGGATATTTTTGGATCTCATGTCGGAACTAGCGGCTTTAGATAGTATTCTAAGTGAACATTTAAATAGTGCAACTGTGTCAAAAAACACGTCGAAAACAATTCAAAATGAATTACTGGACTGTATATATGCGGTATACAAGGAAACGTTTAAACAAGAAATTCAAAATGCAAAATATGTAGCTGTCCAGGCAGATGAAACCTCTGACGTGTCATGCATGTCCCACTTTTTCTGCTACGGTATGTCAATAGCAGTGGACCTGTTGAGAGATTCATTTCCTTTGTTCACATTCAGGATCGAACTTCAGAAGGTTTAGCATCAGTACTTAAACAAGAATTAGAAACATACAACCTTGAAGAAAACTAATGGTTCAATCCTATGACGGCGCTCCTGCGTCTTGTGGAACGAACAGCGGGGTCCAGGTAAAGATATGAGATGTACATTTCCTCATGCACATTTCATGCACAGTTACGCTCATCAGCTAAACTTAGTAATGAAGAAAGCGCGTTCCTCTGTAAAATCAGTGAAATTGTTTTTCATCAATATATCGGGCTTTTCATCATTATTCTCTGTTTCGCCCAAGCGCTCGGATTTATTAAGAATTGTGTGTGGCCAGGCGATTCCGAAGGCTGTAGAAACGAGATGGAACTTTCACAGTAGAGCTGTAAATACTGCCTTCAACAACAAGGATGCTCTACTTCAGTGTTTACACATGATTCAAAATGAAGACGGTTGGGATGATGTTACAATTCGAGAGTCAATAGGACTGGCTAATTTGTTGAAAGATTGGAAATTCTTATACTTGTTGTCATTTTTTAATTCCGTTCTTTTACATGTAGACATTCTGTACAAGACAATATAAAAATTGTCGGGAAATGCCCTAAATATTCGTACTGCAATTCAGCACTTCGAAACTGCAATAAACATCATCAGAAATAATTTGCCTGAACTAGAACGAAATTCAGAACGTCCAGCAAAACGTGTGCGGAAAGATGTCAACACAGGCGCCGAAGCTGAAGAGGTGTGTGACGCAACAGTGAACCAGAGGAAATATCGTTTCGAAGAAGCGCATCACACAAAATGTTTTTCATTAATTGAACTGCAATTATTTGCAGCCCATGAAGTTGCCTTTCCTAGAGGCTTGTGATCAGTGCTGTAAAATATTGTCCTATGCTCTCGAAAGATAAGTTAGACAGCGAACTTAGTGTCCTTTATAGGCACGACACATTTGCAAACGTAAAGACTGTTTTTGCTCTTTGGACATTAATAAGAGAGAACAATCTGGAAGCCGTTCTGTCAGAAATACAGAAACTGACAGATATTGTACTTACAACTCCAATATCAACCGCCGAATCCGAGCGTTGTTTCAGTTAAGACATACCTAAGGAACTCGATTGGTCAAGAACGTCTGAAGGCACTGGCTATACTTAGCATTCATAAGGACATGATTGCAGAGATTCCGGCATTCAACCAAAAAGTGATTGATTTGTTTGCTTCCCAGAAGATTAGACGAGCGCAGTTCCTGTATAAATGAGGTAACTTTTTAAGCATTATTTTAATTAATGGCATGAATTGCAATGGAGCATACNTAACGATTACGTCCACTGACTGAAAAATGGAAGAGAATGGGGCCAGTACTAAAAAAGGTTGATATTACTATTTAAGATTTGATGTTTTCACGGAGGTGACTATGAAGAATGCCGTATTTTGGGATGTGGCGCCGTGTAGACTTTGTGTGAACCGACGTTTCGGAGGAACGTCAGGTGACATAAGGTATACACTGAGCCATATCCAAGAAGACGGCATTCTCTATATTATTATTATTATTTACAAAACTTTATATGTAACAAAAATTATGATTCAATATCTCGTATGACGGATTGCGCATCTAGGGGATATCCTCGGTGGTATCAAGTTATATTAACTTATAATACCGAATATCATGCCAACTATCAGTTCAGAATTTTATACCAAGACGTTCTTACCCACCCTACGTCATTCTGAAGGATTCCCCTGTCTTCGCATCCGTCTATGGAAGTTGCGACTTCCCCTTCCTTTCTCCTTGCCTTCCTTCATTTCGTAACCCAGGGTTTCGTTCGCCTCCCACTACCTTGTTCACGTTTCCTTGTTCTGAAGGTATATAGCAGACTCTTTCTGCAATAACTTGTCAGTATCGCAACGTTCTGATGTATCCCCTCTTTACACGCTCTCTCTGTTGACCTTCACTTAATTGTGTCAGTACAAGTTTTAAAGTTGTGCAGGTTCAGGAAGCTGAACTAACAGTCTGAGGTAGACCACACGGGAAAGTGGCCACCTGCCTGCGTGTGCGAATTAGTGACTATTTAGACTAACTTTATGTAATCTACAGTACTTCTGTCTGCTTGTGAATACAAAATAGCAGTGTGCATATGTGCAGGTGCTTTTTCCATATAGGACGCAACAGTGTAAACTTCCAAGTACCGCGACGGTACTTTAAAACAATATTAGAAAGACACATAAAGCGTCAGAATATTGGACTTAAAAATCTTTTCGTTATTTTAGCATCTCTAACGGATTTATTCACTGAACTTCAACACTGATATTTTAAATTTCAAGAATTCCCTCAGGTACGTAATCATATTTATAAAACTATTACTATATGAATTATATTTTAATTAGCATGGTTTGAATTTAAAAAGGTTTCCATTTTAAAATTTAAAATGCATATTATTTGGAATTCAGATTTTAATACATATTACATGTTTCAGTTGTTCGTTTCAAAGAAATATGATTGTTACAATGCAACGATTGATCTTAACAACCCGTATCATACATTTGTAATTTGTAATTAAAAAATATAGGTATATTTTTAAACTCATGTGTGTGAAGGCATAAGTATTTAATTTTGAAACATATAATAAACTTAAACACACATATAGTAAATAAAATAAAAATGTATATTTAGACCCGCTACAAGTGAAAGTTGAAAGTCAGGCCTTGCACGTGAACGCAGCAGAGATATATCCTTCTTCTTCTTCTTCTTCTTCGGCTATAATGGATATGATCCTCTGGCCCGCTCTGATTCAGAGCTCGTTCTAGAATTGTTGAGCCTTCAGACATTCGCATTGGAAGGGGTCTCGTCATAAGGGAAGACCTCTAGTTTTCAACGATAACACAAAATAGAAAAACGCTCCGAGCGGTACTCGAACCCGGGCTCCAGCACTAAAGTGAGCCAAAGCCGTAAGCGCCCTAGAGCTAACGGCGCTGCGACCGGCAATGACTGAAATAAGAAGACACTTCTGAGGAAGAGAAAATTCACAGCTTCAACGAAAGTCAAACAATCATATTCAGAATTGTAAATTTAGGAGAATTACCACCGAGGATATAGTTGTCTGACATATTTGCTGGTGTATAAGATGCACCATAATATCAAGAAGAAATCTTTATATTTGCTTAAAACGTCTGGATGATTTTAGGCGTTATTTTAAGGAAGAGAATCTATGTTGCAAAACGTTTTTGAAAAATAAGATAAAAAGCGTGACCAGAACATCGCAAAGTGGCGCATCTTCTTCGCACAATTCAGTGTAGCAGACACTGTCTCACGAACATTGTCTTGAAAACACAAAGCTATATTCTACGATATAAATCTAGGCCACTATAAAGACTACAAGAATTCATTTTTACTTAATATGCTTTGAACTTGTCAGTAGTTTCAAGTAGAAAGACAATGTTGAAACATTTTTTTTGGACTGACAGTCCATTCTGTGCAATGTAGATCAAAACTAAAAGATGACAGAAAATTTATTAAGGATTCTCAATAGGAAATATCACCAAAATTCATTTATTCATAAGGTTATACCTATATTTGAGAGAAATTAAGTAATTTACTGAAGTTTGCGAAAAGTAATTTTAATGCTAATGTATACATATTTTCACATCTTACATAAATATTTTTCATATATTCTGTACGTCTGAACTTCTCCTGTTTTTTTCATCGAAATTCAAAAATAAACATATGCTATTTGCCTATTTGCAATATAAAATTATTTTAAGTTATCCCCAACTTCTTTTAGTGATGAACTATTTCATAACAATTCAAATCTGACGTCGCATAGTTCAGTTCCCAGCACAGTAATTGCAAATAAACTGTGTATCAAATGAATCGTCCAAATACTGCAAATTTGTGTTCCAAATGTAGAGGTTCTCTTCACTCTCTGCGTTAGCGATTATCGGACATTTTACTTATAGCCTGTTGATTTCTATAAACTTCTCTCGTGTCAACTTTAACCAAGGTTATTAACTCGTAAGATTTCTAGGCAGCTCTAATACCCACAAGGGAGCCTAGCTTACCACGCAGGCTGTCGTGTCGCCAGGTTACTCGACACGGGGGGGTGGGGTGAATATACGTATATTTGATATGTTTCTGTGTGGTTTTGCATTATCTTCTGCATAGTAAAGACCCTATATCCAGCAGCTCTCCTGAGAAGTTAGAGAGACTGAAAATTCATTGTGAGTCAAAGCAGATAGGAGGGCTTAACCTACGTAGCGGACCTGAAGTATTATGTAATGTACTATAGAAAGGTACACGGACGAAATTATTTAATTATGAGCTTCACAATATACAATCTTTCCAAATGATCAAATTAAAAAGGAGTATTTGAGAGTGAGAGCACTGATAGAGGTGGTAAAAAAGTGTAGTCGGAAAAGGAGAAGGGAATGCAATACTCTGGAGAACAAGATGAAAATAGGAGTGTAACATTACAATTGGTATCACTTACTTACTTACTTACTCATGTAGCTGAGCCCTTTTGAAGGAGCCGCCAATTCTGCATCTACTCAAGAATTTCCCAGCATTTTATGGAACCCGAAGGTTCATTACCGTGTTCACAAGAGCCCTCCACTGGTCCCTATCCTGAGCCAGATCTATCCAATCTATACCATCCCAGCAATTGGTCTTAAGAGCATAAAATATGAACTTGTGGAATGGATTAGACTGGCTCAGAATAGATCCAGTGGCTGGATCTTGTGAATGTGGTAATGTACTTTCGGATTTTACAACAGATAAGAAATATCTAATCAAACTGAATGACTACACGTTCCCCATGGACTCCTACTGACGAAGGCAACAGTTTTCTCTGAAATATTTATATGCTCTTACGAGACAGGCACAAAAATACAAACTACTACAATTTACATTTTCACAGCCGTGAAAACCTCAAATCATATAGATTCTAAAGGGTTCTGACGGTGGTGTATATAACACACAGAATTACTAGGTTTTTGGACTTTTTACATAGTCCGGTGTTCTAGAGAATAGGAAACACGACATTTCGGAAACTGGATCTGTTTCCGTCCTCAGGTGAAGGGGCAGAAGACATACTCAGTTGGATCCCTTAGAAGGAGTTAATCTCAATCACTGGACAAGCCCTGTCAGATTTACACATCTATTTAATCACTCGAGAACGGGCTAATTCGGCGAGAGAAACAAGAAAATAAACAATAAAAATTGTGATAAAACACTCACATGAGTGTTTTATGTTTGTAGCACAAATTTCTACCTCCTTTTCTACCCTAGTTCCAAGCATGTGCACGCTTTTTCACAATTGTTATTGTATATACTCCACAATCTACTTGCATATGACGTGTAAATAGTGGTGATTTTCAAGATTACTATCTTCTAGAATATAATATCGTGTAGTCCGTTGGAAGTCAACCGACATTTCGGAGGAATATATTGTCTTCATTTTCAGGGTCGAATAGGCCGAGCAAGATACCAGCTTGAAAGCAAGTGGCAAACCGAATAATTGACTCTGCTGGATTATGATGTGTGGATAGAAGCATCGGTCACTCGGGGGACCCTGGCTTCTCAGTTGTGGTTTGTCCACTCTAATGTTGTAATGTTCTACTTTGACACCATTGCGCCGCTCGTAGGTTGTCTGTATTGCGATCTCTTTGTGCAATATCAGCTTTGGTCTCGTGCAGGTGTAGTGCATGTGGATGTCGTGATATCCTGGTGCTGCTATGATTGGTTTGTCGTGTTGCCTGATGATTTCATAAAGTTTTACGGATGCTCTTATGGTGCTGACGTCTAGCGCTATGTGGATTGAAATATTTGATGCATATCTGTCCCCGTCGTAGATTTTTTTTATTGTTAGTGGGGTGGGACTAAGTCCTTTGTACTGCGGTCACTTCTGGCCTATTTTACCAGCCACAGATGATAGGTGAGGGTGATTGTGGAGCAATTGGTGGAATGAAGATTAGCAGGGGAAACAGAAGTACTCGGAGAAAACCTGCCCAGCGCCTCTTTGTCCATCATAAATCCCACTTGAGCAGACCCGGGATCGAACCCGGGCCGCCGCGGTGGTAAGCCAGCGACTAAGCGCTTGAGCTATGGCGCGACCCTCCCCGTCGTAGATACTCTAGTAATTTTGTTCGGAATGACCTGCAACTTCTTCATGTTGTTTGTGGCCGCATAGCCCCATGCCTGGACTCCGTACAGTAGAATGGGACAGATTAGTGATTTGCATAAACAAGTTCTTAATTTCACGTCAAGTGTTTTCGAAATTTAATGATGGAGTAGAACTCTACAAATCGTTGCAATGCTTTATTTTCCATAGCTTTAACGTGTGCTTTCCATGTCAAGTTCCTTTCGAAGTGTTTGCCCAAATATTTTGCTTCTGTTGACCATGCAATTTCTTAATCGAATAGTTTTAGCCTCTTTCTGGTCACGTTTCTCCTTCTTGTGGATGTTACTGCAGTGCTCTTTTCTGTGTTCAGTTTTATTTTCCATTTGTATAGCCATGATTCTAGATCAGGCATGTACAGCTGCAGTTTGCTGACTGCGTAACTGATGCTTTTATTTGATGTGAATGCTGCAGTGTCGTCTGCGAATTACCTCCTACTTATGTCTGCTTACATATTGTCGCGTGTTTGTTAGGCAACGAGACAAGAAATTGTGTGGTTTCTCGGATTTGAACGAATTCCTTTAATGTACAGTCACTTTTACACTCACACTCACTCCACTGTTAGACTTTCATTTCCTGGGCAACGATTTCCTAGGCTTCGGTGCCTAGGAATTGCTAGCCGTCGTGTAGCAGTGGATGCGTTCTGATTCTAAATATTCAGACCCTATGTGGCACGCCACAATATACTATATTACACAGTCACCAGGCCAGGACGGCGCCCTAGCGTTTGTCTTCACGTAATGGCATGTATTCGGAAAATGTCCTTACATTTCGATTCTAAACTTGCTCTCAGTAAGTTATGTTACGAGAAGAAGGAGACTGGAACCTGGCTTTGTGTATGAATCCTGTTTTCCAGACCGTGTCAAGTACTTTGGACAGTGAAGGAGTATACCCGTAGTTGCTGTGTGTACCAGCTCATTGAACTTGTCAGAAACATATTTCGTGAAGTGTAGTAGTTGTAGTTTCGTATCCCGTCCTGGTGAGAATGTGAATTTTTCATCAGGAATGTAGCATGATATTGATGGATAGATTTGTATATAGATAGTTTCCATTACTTTTCCTATGGTATCTAATAAGCTGATCAGCCGTTGTGTGGAAAGTCTGGATTCCTGTTGGGTTTTGGTTTGGTTATTGCATTTGCTTCCTTCCATGTTTTGGGGAAG